GCGGAATCCTCCTTGTGATGACTCTCTCTAAGATCGCAGCAACTCCAGCAGTCGCTGCTCGCATCTGGGCGGGAAGCCCCTGTTCACTGCAGCTCACACTGAACCGGCGGCACTCTGAGAAGAGGCAGGCAGCCACGGGAGCGCATGTGAAAGGGGAGGGGAAAAAAAGAGGGAAAAAAAGAAAGAAAGAAAAAAAAGGCAGCCAGTTCGACTCGGCTCTCCCGACGTGACAAATGAGCCACACGTCTGGAGGATGGCCGCCGTACGGGGAGGGAGAGCTCGCTCGCTCGCCCGCGCACGCGGGGCATGTTCTCGCCATTCCGCGATGACAGATCCCGTCACGCGCAAGCCGTGGGTGCGAACCACGAAGGGCCCCTTTCAGGGGAGCCTCTGTAGGTTTCCACTGTTTGGGTTTGAGAGAGATTCACACACATGTACTGTCGTGTGACTGGAGGTGACACATTTTAATTTATTTAGCAAATGGTTTTACCCAAAATTTTTGAGAGCAGGGCCTGTCAGTCCCTGGAGCAACAGGGGGTTAAGAGTCTCACTCAAGGGCCCAACGGTAAAATCACTCGCCGACTAAGGGATTTGAACCAGCAACCTTCCAATCACAGGCACAGAAGCGGTTAAGCCACAGACTGCCCCAGGCGTAGTACATGGGTAACATCGCCTCTCCTAGCTTTTAGCAGTAAGAACCGCCGATAATCAAGTGAAATGGCACGCAGTATTTCTGAGGTCTGATAACTTCTTGCTCTGGGGTGCACCGACATTCCCGGGAAGACGCTGAAGACACGGGGCAGCGGACGGACAAGGCCAGCCATTAGGGGTGACAAATGAAGTGAGAAGTGACAGCGCAAAGTCACGCTTCTCGGTAAATGGGCACCCGGGGATCTGTGCCAGTTATTTGACAAACGTTATTTCCCAGGGCAATTTATACCGCCACCAAGTGCCAGACAATGCCCTTACGCAGTGAAACTGAATATTTATCCTCCACGGTTTCCCGCCGTGCAGCTAATGTCAGAGGAGGATATCCAGGTTACATCGAGTCACCATCTCAAAAGGTACAGCCAACACTTGTCCATTCTATCTTTACTTCTCAAGAGTCATGAGACACTTTCTTCATTATAGGCCTGCTCAAAGAACAACAGTGAAGTTTACATATTGCCCCTTTAATATTCTTCACACATGACAAGCTATCTCAAGTGTAAAAAGCTGTAATACTGAGCATGACCCGAAGAATTCAATTTGATCTGGCTTACTGGTTCCTATATGCACAACTGCACTTGAAATCAATGCTCAAGAGATAAGTTTCTTTACCCCAGAATATTACATGCCTGTAAAGTGTTTGTTTCTTGTTTTTCAGGCCTACAGCTATGACACGAATTAAGGTTAGACCTTCGTTTGATAAAGCGTTTAATCTCATTAAACGCTCTCCAACCCACAAGCACCGTCTTGCGGTTTCCCGCCATCAGAGGCCAGTCATAGGCTGTCAGCATTGCATTTTTCATGGTAACTCAGGGAGTTTGAAGCCTTTACTGCTGACAACATGAATGACAATAAAGGAAACCAAAAGGCAGCATATTTATGTCATATAAAGAAATGCCTTTGGACAGGCTGCTGTGCCGCACTCAATTCCCATTACTTCCTTCCCATCACCAAACGTAATGAAAAAATAAGACGCAAAGGCCTTCGCTCCCGAGCCGTAAATTGAATGCCGTGCTCGCTTTTCGGGTGTCTGGAAGGCTTCCCGTCCGCATGAAGATGGAGATTGTGAAAAGCGCCATCCTGGCCAGGTATACTCCATCCTGAAATAGCGGTTTTCAGACCTTGATTTTTCCCGGGCTCTCACTATCGCTCTCTTTAGGCTATGGCAGGGCAACAGGCAGATGAACTTCCCGGTTGTGGGGGGGCGGAGGGGCGGAGCCGGGTAACGCTGCCATAGAGCACACAGTCCACAGCTCCGGGGCCAGTGAGAGCAGCCAAGGCCGAACGCCAAATAGAAAGCAAAGAACAGCCCCCACTGTGCCGTAGCCGCTTAATGAGGGCCCCAAGCCCTCTGCCAAGCCACGGAGCATCACGGGAGCAAATTCTGTCAATCTGTCCCCCCATCCATGGTGAGCATCAGGCATGAGCTGCTTGTCTACAGTGTGTTGGAGTGCAGAAGGCCTCTGCGACAACCTTCGTAACGGTACGAACATGAATCGGAAAACAGAAGCAGCACTTCACCGCTGAACAAACGGAACCAGCGCTGATGTACTTGTTTAGAAATCGCAGCCCCGCTTTCTAGATAAATACCAAGTACCACAGACACGCTGCCCCCGACGGTCTCAGTACAAAAAATCATAGAGCCCCCACAGCGAGGCCCCGGCAGGACCACCGCGCACCTGCCTACGCCGAAGACTTCCAGGCGGTCGGCAGCGAGCCACACAGCCTTTGGGCTTTGGAGCATAGCAGGGTGTCACTTTCATTACCGATTCCCGAGATGAGCTCCAAGCCCCGTCCGGGAGCGCGGCAAGAGAAAGGGGTGGGGGGAGGGGCACGTATCGCCCCCTGTGCGTCGAAGAGTACTCCGACGGCCCATTGTGCCACGTCAGTCCTTCCTGTGCTCTTGCTGATGGGCCGTACTGGCATCCTAAATGGCCGCAGTGCCATAGCGCCCGTCTGGAAAATTGGATCTTTTCATTTGAATAATTCCTGTCGTAATACACAAGTTGTTCTATATAAAATAAACAGGCCCGGCTGAGAGGGCGTTACGGATCAGCACCTGGGTGTGCTGGAGTCAGTCACAGAGGAAAGGAACGCACGGGCGATCAATCACGCATGATGCACTCGGGACAACATATGATGCAAGCACATGGGGCAGGAAACAGACAAACTGAGGAACAATTACAATAAAAAGCCATTTAAAATCAAATGTCAAATGTCATTTAAACCCCTGGCAATTAATTAAGGCTAATTTGCAATGTAATGCAAATAAACACGTTAAGGCTGGGATTGTAGCACATTTACTAGCCAATTGTCTCATCGTATAATTCTGTTCAATTCCTAGAATGACTTGCCGGACAGCAATAGACCAGAGGCGGGATGAGATTCTTGAAGCAAACCCTTCAGAAACAGCAGAATAATTAATATGAGGGTTACCCCATTGCCTCTTTCACTTCACAGTGCTTCGCAAATATCAGTAGCTGTCGTTAGCATTCGTCACTTGTCATGGCTACGGCGGTTCATCATGGTCACCCGCAATTAGCTTAGCCAGTTGCTCACGGCGATAAGAAAACTGACGGCGCACAGAGCAGCTTCACGTCAGCAAAGCCAAGACTGCCACCTAGTGCCTGATGCGCTCCCACAGGAGCAGCCAAACCATTCGCGCACCCCCAGGATCACACCACAGCAAGCACCAGCACGCAATTAACATTTAGGAAGCCGAACACTAACGAGTGACACATTTGCATTAAGTAATCACAACACGACCAAGCCTTCAGGAGAATGAAAGATTAGCGGCTGAAAGGAAATACCAAGCAGGAGGCCGCGATGTCGGGGGGTGGGGCAGGAATTTGATCCCACTCATGGTCAAGGAGATGTTGGGAGAACTCAGATGTTCTGAGGTTTCTCACTTACCTCCACACACAGTCTCTGTTAGCAGTAAACAGATACCTCCTGTCCAGACTGCTCCGAATAATGGGCAGAGAGTAAACACACCAGGCACTCCACTCACACACACGGGCACCGAAATAAACGCAGAGTTCTGCTTCACAAAAGCACCCGACAAAGTCTGGACATCATAAATCAGCTCTGTGCTATTGCATTTATTTATAAAGAAAACCTACTGTTTATGTTTGCATTGAAGTTTACACAGCTCCCATTCTGCAGATGGGCTAAAGCTGTTCATTGACATGGCTGTCAAACACAATACCGAATAAAAAAAAAACACTTGGATCTGCTTATCCCCTAACAATGAAGCAGAACCGCCCGCCGCCCCCCACCCCGAATGGCTTCACAACTTCACCGTCACCCCCAAAGGCCCCATTGACCTCTAGGCCTTAGGTCACAGTGATGCTCTATCCAAAGGAGGCAAAGCTATGCTGCATTTCAGCTGAGCATTGACATCATTTTCAAAGACACATCCATGTGCCACAAAACAACATAGATGCTTCCCGGGTTACAATGATTTCACAGGTATGCTAGGCTAGGCTATGATATTAGATAGGTGAGGTGTACTGTACTAAAATGCATTTTCTTCTTACGATATTTCCGGCATTTATTGGAAACCAGGGAGAATCTGTAAACAAAAGAACAAAGGCATGACACAACAATTCTCCTTTGCACTACAGATCTGCCACTGTCATCCTATTGACGAAGAAATTACCATTCTCTCACATGCCACGGTGAGAGCATCAGAGATCACAAGAAAACATTCGGCCTATAGGATGGTGCATGAGACAACGACTGCAACGAGTGTCCATTCAATCCACTTTGACTTCTTCCTCCATGGCCACAGTCCCATGGCCTAGAGTGCTGATTTCTGTCTGCTCAACAGATCATCCGCTCAATACAGGAGTTCCAGCACAAATCGCTAAACGTCCACGAGAACATACAGACCACCGATGGAGTCTGATTTAATGCGGAGCCGCTCACTCAGTAAGCTCCACGCCATGCTGTATCTTCACCTTTTATTGCATAAATGCTAGTTTATAGCATAGACTTTATACAGTAGGAAGTGAAAAATGACCATCATTACTGAAAAATGCAGAATCACGCAGCGTTCCGAGTTATGAGATTGTTCATTTATAGGAGGAACATTTAGGAGAGCACAGGGTGCTAGTGCAGGAGTCAGAATACAATAGCTGTCACATCACAATGAATAACACTATAAGGGAGGATTAAATTAAACTTCTGAGTGAAGTTTGCCAAAGAAAAATGGAGCTGAAATGGGAATGGAGTTGAAAAGAGTGACCTCTGAGGAGCTGTCAAGCTCCTCCCGCCATCATGCTACCTACCTGAGCTGCTGGAGGAGGTGATGGGGTTGGCGGGGCTGCCCGCTGGGGGCAGCTCGCCGTTGTTGAGCTGCTTGACCCTCTTCAGGTGGGATTTCCCGTTGTAGTGGACCTGGGCCTGGGCGGCCGAGTTCAGCTGGATGTTGCAGACCTCGCACAGGGAGAAGAGCAGCTTCTTCTTCTCCTGAGTCAGCCGCAGCTCGGCGGCGCCGTCGCCGGCCTCCTCCAGATCCAGGCACGTGCCAAACGGCAGGCATAGCCGGCCATTCTCCAGCAGGCGGGTGGGGCTCAGGGGTCTCTTCATGCCTTAAAAGGAAAACCAGAAGGTGAGATGAGAAGTCCGGACCGACTTAAATGTGTGTCCAGCCTGCAGTTTTGTCGCAGGTAAAGCCTTCCCCAGCACTCGCTCTTAATGCCGGCACTCGCTAAGCGGATTTCTCGTCTGTCTGCACGCGGGGCTCGGAAGAGCATTCTGATATTGCCGCATAAAGCTCTCCCTCAACCCCTTCCTTCCCCCGATAAGAGCAGAAGCGTTTCCGCGGGATCTGAACGGGGGAGCGTGGTCGGTCCTTGGGAGAGTGAGCAGGTGTCAGAGCGTGGCGCCTCAGCGGAGCTCCAGGAAGCTCGCAATCTGTCAATCTCTACCTGCAGCGTGAGCATTTCCAAGGGAAACTCACTGAGGCGAGCGAAAGGGCTGCCCGTAGACCTCCTGTGCCCATCTGTTGCTCTCCTGACAAGCTAAATTCACATGCTGTGTACCCATGGGTATTACACAATCCACTTTGTGGCACAGTCTGTACTGAGGCTTTTATTTCCTCCTGTATTCTGATTGGTCTCGCCTGTTGTGTGAATTTGGCTAGCCATGACAAGCTACGGGCTTCAGTGAAAAATTTGGTGCTCGTCGAATACAAGGAAACGTCCGTACGTGTATGCAGTGAATGATACAGTTACATTAAGGGCATTTCTGCCGTGCTGTCATCCCACATCGCCGGCGGCGCCGGTTTGACTCCAGCTATAGCTTGATCATCTCACACGTCTTGAGATGTTTGTGTAGGTTTCTTCTTAGTATTTCAGATTCCACCCACAGGTCCAAAAACAGGCTGATCAGATGAACTGCTGAAACACCGTCAGTGTGCGACTGTGCGTGCATGTGTGTGCATGTGCCTTACACCCTATAATTTCCCTACAACTGCTTATTGTGAACTAGATGTGGAGTATGTAACTATAAAAACGCATGAAAACCCAAAGATATTGCCAAATGGGTCCACTAAAAAACTGAAGGAATCCATAAATAAATGTTGTGTAATAATCCATAAACATCCCAGTCCTCCACCTGTCACTGTTGTGAAAACCCCTAAACCTTAAACAATTCAAAGTAAACAAAGTCCTATGTAGCTTGTTTCATTATCCATGGCCTCAAAAGTAAAAAGCTTGGTGGAGCTCTGCCTTTCAAACACGAAGAGGTGAGATGCGTTGTGCACTCAGCACCTTGGAGACTCTCCTATCTCCCACTCCATAACCACGTAAAGAAAATTGCTAAATATTACACTATATGCAGAGGTCAAGCAGGCAAGTTTCGTGGGCTCATGTTCCCATCTGCACTGTAATCACTCAAAGACAAACTCGGTAATCAATAATACAGTCACACACTGTGAACCCGGCTGACAGACTCACGAAACTTTACAAAATGCCCCCAAAGGTTCTGTGTAATTTTTTTCCACAATAAAACATGATAAAATAATGACTCCTGCCCATTTCTCAAAATATTTTGCTCCTAAAAATCTATTCCTAGACTGCCCCCTTTACAAAAAAACATCACAATGTGGAGCGCGCCATATGAAGAATGATCCTCAGGCGCTTCCGAGATATGCTATGTTCCCCTTTTCTCGCGTAATAATGGAACGCACTGGTAGCCAAGACAGGTCCCAGTGTGAGTCCCGCGTATGCTCTCATCAGGCAGGGCCCGCGGAGCCCCGGCACTGCTGAGAGGCCCTCTCACACTCCACTGGGCCTCATCAGCACGACTCCACCGGCTCCCAAGAGGCTCCACATAGGGTCGGCATGCCTGTCTGTCATCTCCCTCCACAATTCTATTAAGAGACAAAAATGCTGCCACATCTGACAACTACAACCCATATCTCTTGGGGAAATCGCCTCAAAACATATATATTTTTTTGTTTTCCAGGGATTAAAAAAAGACTTGTCTCTACAATCCCGTCTGTCAGCAACTAGGTCGCGGCAATACCCAACTCATAATACGAATCGGCCACTTTTGGGCCAATTCTTGCCGTTCTGTGGGCAGTCACCTTCCCAGGAGCTCGGCATGCTGAATAATAGGGAGCGAGCGTTAATTAAACGGGCCAGATACAACTTGACACACATTCTGCCTACTGTGAGAACTTCGGGCCTTGCGATGATATGAATGGAGAGACAGCATGAGATTACAATGCTAACATTTGAAAGACACACCTGCAACGTTGTACGGAGTTCACTGTTGCCTCATGAAGCCAAAAAAAAACTCAAAGCACAGATTGTATTTTTTTACATTCCACAATTATTTCTGCCTCCCATGCTGTTAACTGTTGAAATAATGCAGAGAGAAAAAAAAAAGAGTAGAATTCATTTTTATGAAACAGTAAATGTATTACAAAACACGCTTTCCAGCATATGCACTTTCCAGCATATTTAAATCCTACAAAAACTATTAGGCTCCGGTTTTTCTCAAGCTTTCTTTGCCAACTGCGAACCTGAAACTGAGCTTCTACACTCGTTAACAGGGTAACTGCTCAAAGCGAAAAGTCCAGCACAATTTATAACACCTCTTACGAGGTCCTGCAGAGCAAGAAAAATGCAAGGTAATTCAGAAAAAAAATAACGACAAACCAAGGGAGCTCCTGGACATTATACATAGCGATTGTTAATTTAAGACATTTGTATGGTCCAAATATATATATTTTTGTTGCTTTAGGTGTTAACCATCATGTGACTATCCAGGTGGTTAGAACTGATTGCTGAGAATATAGTGTAATTTTCCTGCAATTAGCTTGAGTTACCCATAAGCCTTTACCTTGCTCTTGTTATCATTTCACTATTCATACCGAATAATGGCCACTGACATTAAGAATTCTTCCCCTCGTTCTGCATAATGACCATTAAAATTAAGAATTCTTCCTTCTTCCTCTCATTACTGATTTGACCACAAATGCTCCGAGCAGGTCAGAGATCACTCCTGTACATTGATGCATTGTGTATCGGTTGACAATAACAGTCAGGCTTTGATTATATCAATTAGCAGCATGACGTGACGAGAGAATTTTCGCATTCATGGTTTTAGCCCCAACAGTGCGAGAGACGTATCACACTTCGAGGTCGTGACAGACTCCCCGTTCGTGGTGCGATTCGCACGCACAGCTTCTGCGTGCTGCTGAGATGGAACTAGGGGAACGGCGTCCCATTCGCACTGCTGCAAATCAGACCAATTCGCAAGTTCCTACCTCGGATAGAGCTCTCACTTAGGTAGAGTACAGCCCCAAGGAGTTGCTGACGTGCAAAAAGCAAGCTTCACTTGCAGCCTTCACGTCACAGCAGATGGGGCACAGGCTATCTATAACCACTCATAAATTTGAGCAACACATCCTTTGCATTGATCCTAAGGGTGTTAAGAGTACCCGACATTGCCAGTAATGATATTAGCAGGGGCGTTTACGGGGACGGAAAAAGCTCATTGGGCCCCAGAGTGCCCCCTCCCCTGTCACTCACCAATTCAAAACATTTCATTGGCTAATATTGTAATGCCCCTCTGTATGAATTATAGTCCCTTTTATGTCTCCCTGGATATTAGCAGTAAATTCATGCCCTCTGACAGTATGAGCCAGCTCACACAGGGTTAAAGCTGTGACTTACAGCCCAGTGATAGTGGCTGCAGCACTTTCTATTTATCTAAGTTTCATGCGTAGGAGGACAAGGAAAAACATATATGGTATATGGTTATGCTTTATTTAAGCACACTAAGAGATCGGGCCGTGGGACCTGAGAGTGTCAGGGAGACAAACATGGACGTGCCAAACCCCCATGGTCTAGGGAGACTGACAGGTAGACGCAGACCGCAGAGTGCTGAACCATCTCCCGCTTAACCATCCGACAGCAGATTACAATACAGACCAAATGCTAGACGACACACACGGCCCGACCATGGGGGGAGAGATGAGCCGCCGATATTTGAAAAGAGGAGAGATTACTTACTACCCTGCTACAATTGACCAGATGGGAAAGTCACGGGGGGGGTGGACAAGGAATTTAAACAAGATGTGCCTCATGCGGGGTCCTTACGTAAATGACTCTAGCAGCAGATTCTACAGACCACACCTATAAGGCCCCAACGCCAAATCCACGCTTAAATCTACCCCAGGAAGGGGAATTTAGCAGTGAATTTATTTTCGGCTTTCGCAGCACAGGGATTGTCAGCACAGCCAAGACAGAAGGATGTTTATTAATACCCTCTGCGTATAATGCTCTCTGCCTTCGACGCACGTCTGTGTCAAGTGAGCCCTGCGAATGTCATTCTGTGAGCCGCTGCCAGATGTCTGTGTCTGTGTAAGGTGGCAAGTCGGCTTGCCAAAGGTATGCCGATGTTTTGTACCTATTAATAGCCTGTGATGTTTCCGCGGTGCATCGAGCCAAGAATTATTCTGCAATATTTTTCACTTAACCCTTTGCGGCAGCATCGATCTCGTGTTTTACTCCGATTGCCCGGTAACGGCAAGACAAAAATGCACAAAGCTTGAGGAAACACAGATCTTGAGTGCATTTGATTCTTTAAGCTTTTAATCACCTATGATACATCAAGTTTGTTGGAAATCATAATGGAAAAAAAAAACTAATTATAACAGACCCCTATTGTTCTTAATAGCCTGGCCTGAAGTTATACGTTTTCTTTTGTTTTTTGCTGCAAGTTATTTATTTATTTTGGAAAGCAATTACTATTCAGTGATAAAAAAAGATGCTCTAAAATGCCAGCTTACAGGCACATTTAACTCAATTTTTTTTTGTGAGCTCAGAACTAAACAACCGCTTAAGCTTTTACTGCTGATATATATAACTTCGTTATCATCAGCGGAATTAAATTAATCGTCTCACTTTCACCAGCACTTACATGTTCCCACTGGGCACCAAAAAACAAGATAATGAATGGGCCTGTTTTTTTTTTTCCTCTATCGAGGTTTAAACTACGAGCAGGAGTAAGGCATTCCAAAGGGGTACACGAGGTGTGACTAATGATGCCATAAGTGAATCACGACTGTGTTTTC